GCATTTTATATTATCTCTCATTTAATCTTCAAAAAAATCCTAAATTCTTTCCACATTGCACCACTTATTATATAAATCAACTTATATGGAAATTATTTAGGAAGAAAATCTAATGACTTATATGGTTAAAAGAACATTATCACAAATGCATATTTAATAAGTTTTATGATCTAATAATTGATAATAAGCGCTAAAGGACTACAAATATGCTGAAAAGACATTCTTAGCTTTGCTTGCTCATTTATATAACAGGCAATTGCTTTGTTTATGAACAAGAAATTTGAGGTAGATAAAGAGTTATAGTTTTTTAAATCACTAATTTTACTTTAGTTGTAGTAGGTTTTAACGTGATGAATCTGATCAAACCTTATTATGAGCAGAGTTTGACAATTTAAGAATGGTTTCAAAAGAGATTAACTAATATTTTAAGGATCATCAGAATATAGCTCCTTGGTTAGAACTTCTAAATTAATTTAAAGGTGAACATTAAATAACAGCAGTTAGGAACTATAATGTCATTATTTCCGTTTCTTGGGCGGTTGAGTTAAAGCACACAACATCAATTAATTCTCCAAATTGAACCTGTCTCCTTGTGCCAGCTGCACCTTCAATACCCTAGAGGATACAGTCTCAGATGAGGATATCCTTCCAGAAGAGCATTGTCATTATATAAAAGGCTAGCTTTCTCCATCCTAAGCTTTGGGGACAGATGGAGATAAGGAGTACCTGCTGAGAGTTCTCTTCCAGTAGAAAAATATAAAAATGGGGTAAGATTGTATGGCCAGCTATCATTTTTTTTAATTAAGTTTATTGGTACATTTTAGGTATAAAATACAATTACATTCATCGTTGGGATCTTGCACCTTTACATGAAGTAAGAACTAAGATGCTCCAGCTATCTTATTTGGTGTCAAACTCACCAGATTTTTTTTCTGAGAGTTTTTTTCTAATGAAAACCTTAGATAATTTTCTTCTAAATTTCCTTAAGATATAGTAGAGGTTCTTTTTTGCAGCTTAAGATGAAACATAAATTACAAAAATTTCTGTGATGTAGGGTTATGTTCTCAAAACATTTGGAAGCCCTATTTTAATAATCATCATGACTTTATTCATGCAAATGGTTATGAAATAAATGGCTATGGTAGCTGTACTGGTGCTTATATTATTGTTCAAGAAGACCTGTGTTTGAATTACAACTTGGTACCTCTAAGTTTGTGATCTTGAGCAAGTTTCTTATTTTCTGTAACCCTTACATTCATTACTGTAATAACAAAATCAGGTTACATATTGAGACCATTAAGAAAAGCAATGCGATAATGTGATAGTAATATATAAGGTCTAAATCTTTTTTTTTTTTTTGGTACCGGGGATCGAACTCAGGTCCTTGCACTTATGCAGCAGGCATCGAAACCACTGAGCTAAGTCCCCAGCCCTAAGGTCTAAATCTTAGTGTATGCTTATTCCATTGAAGTTTATGTGTATGAATACACATATTCATATATAAAAATACATCTACTAATATTTATATGTATGTAAAGTACATTTGTTTATACAAAAAGGTACCCCATGAAAATATTTTGAGTTGCTTGGAAACCTGATTATAATTGAAAAATTACACTTCAAATATTTAATGTCTGATTTAGAGATTATTTTATAAGTAGCATTAATGAACTCAGTATAAAATATTATTTAATGGAAAAGCAATGTAAATATGATTTTTCTTTAATTTTTATTTAAAAATAATGTACAATATTAAAATAAATATGAGAAACTATATAATTATATGCATCAACAAATTTTAACTTTTACTGCAAATTTCATATTTTGTCATCATTCTGACAGAAGAAAAAGTATGCTTAGATCTCAAGAGATTAACTGATGAACAAGTAAAAGGAAAGCTCTTAAAATGATCAGACACCACTCTTCATGGAAGCAATAACTTAGTTTTGCAAAAACTTTATATTTTATTTTTGATGCTTGTATACTACTTCAGTTCTACTTTTGTGGTATGCTTTTCAGAAATTTAAACTGTTTTCTATGTCTACACTTTGTTACATTCACCTTGTACAACAGGATTGCCTAACCTCACCACTGTTGGCATCTTGGGGCAGATAATTTATTTCGTCTGGGTGGATGTTAGGCTTCTATAACTGTAAAGAACTATGTGAAATAGTTAAATTATAAAGAGAAAGGTTTACTATTTTATCACATTGTTTTAGAAATAGATGATACTAATAGAATTGATGTATTGTTTCCATTGTACACACCAGTGGATTTTTTAATTACTTCTACCATATTTCAAGTACATCAAGATGCCTCAGTAACATGCCTCTTTTTTTTTTGACAGTATCTTTCCATTTTAGTTGGATTTTTTCTAGCTAAATAAACACAGTTTTATATAATTAATTTCAATACTTTTACAATTCCACAATTACAAATGTGGTATCATAGTACACATAAATAATGGTCTCAATACTGCTTTAAACATTTTTAGAACAGGTTATGAATTAGCTTTGCTTTGAGTGAATACTGTGGATAGGAGTTACCAAACAGACTACTTAACAGCCTACATGAATTTTAATTATACTAATTTGATTACTAATCTTTGCAAGTAAAGAGAACTTCTACTAAAAATGTGTTTCCAAGGGTTTTCCAACAAATAAGAAAAATCTATTGAACTTATATTGAATTGGCTAATCACATTTATAGAGGTTTGAGGCATTTCATAATTCCTTAAACACTTCCATGCTATTAACATGCCTTCTTTAAATATCTCCTTGTGTTGAGATAAATCTTGCATTAGATTATATACCATCATTAAAATTTATTCTGCCTTTAATTCAATCACAGTGAAAGTGTTGAGTGTCTCCAATGCATCTTTCTTTGCAAGAGAATACTAGGGATTGAACTGAGGGCCTTCTCACTGATCTAACCCCAGTCAATTTTATCCTTTGTAATATGACACGGGGTCTTGCTAAATTGCCCAGGTTGGGCTTGAATTTCAGATCCTCCTGCCTTAGCTCCCAAGTCCTGAAATTGCAGGCATGTCCCACCTCATCCAGCCTCATCCAATTTTGCTCTAAAACATGATCAATGAAACACCTCCCCTCCCGTGTATATGCAGATAATTTAATATAATGACATGACTTTATTTCATAATGAATTATAACATATGTCATTTTATAAATCTCAACCTTTTCAAGTCTGGATATTTTTTTGTCAGCAGTAGCCTCAGTGTTCCAAGATTATTCATTTTGGCTTTTCTTTAGACAGACAGACAGATAGATAGATAGATAGATAGATAGATAGATAGATAGATAGATAGATAGAACATGTTTGATGTATGTAATGATTATATTTATTATGGGGAGTTTTTATGTGTACATAACACCTCTCAATTCTTTTTATGTCTTTTCCTTCTCATCCCTCCCTATTCACATGCATCTGACTGAAAAAGCTGGAATCCTATGTATCACCAAACCAAAATTGGGCCCAGGTTAGCAAGTGGCAGTGACATCAGCAAAAGTAAGAATGTTAGTTATTGTGAGAGATAGGAATGGCTCCTCAAGCCAGAGGCTTAGCACTCATGACGAGAAGTCTGTCTGCCAGTCCCTACCATAATTCCATCCTGTTAGCACCTACACAAATATGAAATCTCTTGTCTAAGTTCCATGATAGTACATGCAGGACTCAGGTGATAATCTTTGTCAATAAATTATTATAAAAAGGTATACACATGCAGACTGCATTAAATGCATCCAACTGCAACAATAAAAAGTACTGCAACAATACAAAAAAAGTCTACATGCTTAGAAAAACAAATTAACTTTAAACATCATCACAGTTTGTAGAAAATAACACTATATCCCTTTATGATGCTTTAAATGAACCAGTTATTAGCAAAGAAGACAGTTTTTGCATTAAATTTTTCTTGTAACTGAAAAAATAGAATTCATAAACAAGCATTTTCAATATAAACAAATCATGAAACTACCGATGTCTTGCATTACCTCTGCAAATTATGGAAAATTTCAGAGAAAACATTAATATATCATTGCATACATTTTCATTAAGCATTAAATTCAATATTAAGGCAATATAAATGATCATTGTTGGGACAAAATTCTGTATCTTAACTGTGGTGACTAATATATGAACCCATCTGTGTAATAAAACTACATAGAACTAAATGCATAAGCACACAGATGAGTATGCTGAAATAGATGAAATATGAATGAGATCAGTGGATTATCTATTTCAGCTTTCTGGTTTGACATACGGGGATTTGTAAGGTACTACCATAGGAAAAGCTGAGTGAGAAGTGCAAGAAATCTCTAGCATTTCTTGTACCTTTTCATTTTATTTTATTGTTTTGTAAAAAGTCAAAAATATTCACCCATCTTCAACTCTAATATTTGGACTCTGAGATATATTATCCTGAGGCAGATCTTTAAGGAAATCTTTTTATTTATTGGAACTGTATTTCCAAGATATGTCCGTTTGCTTTTCATGACAAAAGATAAAATGATTAAGGACTCCACACATCTATCACTTTTAGAATCTGCACAATACAGTTTTGATAAAAAATTTCTATACCTAGGCCCATATACTTCACACCAAGCAGCTGCATTTCTCAGCTTGCAACTAGACCATGGTCAGATTTCCTTGAAGCTTTAAAGTGATTAAAATAAGCCAATCAGCATTCATTCTTGGCATTATTATCTGATATACCATTGTCCCCCAAAGAACTCTAGGTGTAGAAACAGCAAACTTAACATTGACCGGGATGCACATATTAACAGTACGCAATTTCTATTGTGCTAGGCAAGATTTGAATAACATCTACTCATTTGATTAGCAATCATTGAAAAGTACATGTGTAAATGATCTATTGTATTTACCTCTGTATTTATTATTGTATAGTGCTTCTGTGTACAGATTATATTCTCTTTTCATAATATCCTAATGCTTTTATCTATTTTTTTTCTGCCATATTCCAGAATGTTTCTTGGGGACAACAGTATTCATATGCACTCTTCAAAGCAATGAGTCACATGCTGTGCATTGGGTATGGAGCCCAAGCCCCAGTCAGCATGTCTGACCTCTGGATTACCATGTTGAGCATGATTGTCGGTGCTACCTGCTATGCCATGTTTGTCGGCCATGCCACTGCTTTAATCCAGTCATTGGATTCTTCCAGGCGGCAATACCAAGAGAAGGTATTTTATTTCTCTTATCTTCAACCAGTTAATAAATTGAATTGATTGCCTTCAATCTATCATCTATTGAAAATGTAATACTCTAAAACATTTAAGGCAAAACACAATCTATTTTGATATTTTGAGTTTTCTTCAAGATGATCCTATAACTTTTACTTAGTTTTATTTCTGTCAATACTAGATTTTTAAAAAAAATCTTATTTTGTATTGACATAATGTTTCAAAATATTTGAAGCTCATATAAGCAATCATTGGGAAGTACGTGTGTAAAGGATCTACTGTAAGGATTTCTCTATATATTTATTTTCATGGTTCATATTCTATCATCCTCCAACAGTTTTATATGTATATTATATATACATATATGTT